TCAATTAATATAGGTGAGATGGAAATTTCAATCATTAGTCAGATATGTATGTTTATTATGTTATTGGAAAAGTAATATTAATGATTCAGATAATAATTACTTGTGATCGTTGATATGTAAGATAAATCGATCGATAATTGAGAAAATAGTATAAAAAGTTTCAACATTTGTTGTGTATATGTATGTGTATGTGTTTGTGTAAGATAAAACAATTAACAGCTGAGAAAAATAGAAAAGATTTTAGAATTAATTAGGTTTTTGTGTGTGTGTATATATATATATATATATATATATAAATGTGAAATACGTCGACAGAATTAATGATAATATCCATTGGTTTATAAAAACGTGTTATTTATTAAAAGTACGAATGTCAAATTACACGGGAATAATGAGTAAATAAAAAGAAAGAAAATAAAACAGGAAGTAAAATAGAGAATTTTGAAACAATAAATTAGATTGTCAAAATATAAAATTAATAGAAAATAATATAGTAATATTTTATTCTATTTTATAGATATTTTATAATTAATATATTAATTTATAAAATAATATTAATATTGTATTTTATTTTATAAATATTTTATAATTAATATATTAACTTATAAAAAAATATTAATATTATATTCTATTTTATAAATATTTTAATTAATATATTAACTTATTAAATATATTTATTATTTATCAAATAATATTAATATTATATTCTATTATAGATATTTTAATTAGTAAAATTTATTAAATATATTTATAATTTATCAAATAATATTAATATTATATTCTATTTTATAAATATTTAAATTAATATATCAACATATTAAATAAATTTATAATTTATCAAATAATATTAATATTATATTCTATTTTATAAATATTTTAATTAATATATTAACTTATTAAATATATTTATAATTTATCAAATAATATTAATATTCTATTCCATTATAGATATATTAATTAATAAAATTTATTAAACATATTTATAACCTATAAAATAATATTAATATTATATTCTATTATAAATATTTTAATTAATAAAAACTTGTGTGAATTATATCGACAGTAAATAATTCTTAGTTCGTGTGCATTACGTAGGATTACAAAAAATATATTCTGCATAATATATCATATATTTATATATCCTAACATAACCTAACATCCTAACATTAACCAGAGCATAATAAAAAACTATATTACTATCGATAGAATTGGTAAGTATGCTTGAACGATTATTCGTTTCATAAAATAAATCGCAGGATAATTCTGCTATCAGTTCAAAAGCCATTTGATTTTATGCTCATCATTTTTGTCTCATTTGGCAAAACACACGATTACATAAATACAAACAAGGAAAAACAAATAAGAAATCATTTCATTTGTATTGAGTATTATGATTTGCATGAAATAAGAACGTGACAATCACGTTGAAAATTAATTTCGATCAATTTATTTTTTATCACGTTTGTTGCATTATAAGATAAATATATTATTTACCTTTCCAATGAAATTATATTTGTTATTTGTTAGTTGTGATATTACATATAATTAAAGACGTATATGAAGTTTTTACAAAAGTAGAACAAGTGAGATCACAAAATGATTCTAACCGGATCTGAATATTCATGAATCTTTCGATACTATGTATAGGATGACGAAGCACTTTACGAAATAAAAAAGAAAAATAAAAAAATAACACTTAATCATATGGACATTGATGAAAATGCAAAAGGTACTTTTTTTTTTACCATACCCGTGATGAAAAGATAAACGTCAAACATAGATTTTTACTACTTTTTATCATATGAACATTTATATTTTTCAACCTGGTATTTTATTTACATATCTTCCTTGTTTATTTATTGTGATAGAGATTCGTTAAAAAAATGTGTTATGAATATGACGAGTTATATGAATAATGGAAGAATAATATGATTCTTAGGTGGCTTTATTTTTTGTTTCATTTTTTTTAAAATTAATAATACAAACTTTGTTCTTCCTATCAATTGCTTCACATTCGTTTTGCTCGGTTCGTTTCTAGATATGTAATAACCCGAACGTAGAACCGTTGCAATATGCCAACTTTCGCCGAAGTACACATTTACATTACATATATGTATATATATATATATAATATAATCTCAGAAACCAATGCCGTATAACCAGTTTTTTCTCTTACGTGTGATCTTCTTGTTATTCTTTTCTTTTTTTATTAATTTTATTTGTAAATGTTTTAGGTAAATCCCAAGCAGGGGGAGCCAAGGACAAAATCGATTCACGTTTGATCAAGGCAAAAATAAAAAATAATCAAGAAGAAGAAGAAGAAGAAGGAGAAAAAGGAGAAAAATAAAGAAAAGGAAATAGCCAAGAGTGAAAGTTTAAGTTTGCCTTTCATTTAAACAATTTTTGATCTACGATCAGAGATATCCATGAATTGTCTGCCAACGACCTTTAAATTTGTTCCTTCCTTTCTCATTTTTTATTATGTTCACTTAAACTCACACACGTAAAAATATTGAGCTGGCCAAGTATTTTGTTTTTTGATAATTTCCTAGAAGATTTTAACAACTACCCATTTAAAAAGTCATTTAAAAAGAAATAAAACGTGTTTAAAGATAAAAACTAACCTAAGATAAAAAACTTTCTTTATCGTAGTAAAAAAAGAAATATTATTATTATTATCATTATCATTATTATTATTATTATTATTATGAGTTCTCAAACTTGGCAGAGAAATAATATACAAAATTCTACCCTTACACGATGATGGGAGAAGTAACATGAGGAGATGTGCTTTCTAAACATAACACATCGTGAATTATCTGTAACGCGATTTCTACATTGTATTGTTCGATAAATAGAGCACAGAATATCAGGCCCATCCTATTCAACTATCAAAAAATATATATTCCTGAAGGTGCACTAAGCTTTATCGAAGATTCTCCCTTCTTTATTTTTGTTTTCTTCTTCTTCATTCATCGACCTATTGCAAAAGGAAAAAAAAAACAACAAAGAAAAAAGTTATTTTTTCTCATCTGGAAGGATAGACAACAAAGATGAAATTTATAACGTCGTTATTTGGAGATGGGTCTCCTAAAACGATGGGAAGGCAATATATGAAAGTTGGAAGGAATGCACTTCTTGGTATAAAACCTGATCAAAAGAATGGTGTTTGTTCTGAAAGAGTGCCAACACCCTTGTCCTTGCTGATTTCCCGAGGTGGCAAATTAAAACACAGTGAGTAATAATATTCATTTCACTTTTGTTTTTTCAATTTCTTTACTTGTACACGTTGATTCTACGAGATTTACTTTTTAATAATAAAAAAAATTCTATTATCTCAAATACTAAGTAAAACACTATTCCGAAATACTGAATTACAAAAGATTACGATCTAACTTACGCAGGCGTATTTTAACAACAGCTTTAAATGGTATAAACGACTCTAATCCTAACCAGTAATGAAATTATCGTCGTAATTGCCATTACGAATTGTTTCTGTTCTAATCTGTTATTATTATAATCGGTCGAGCGAAAATTTTCATTAGTTCTAATAAGACGAATATAGGATTGCCTTAGTATGAATTAATTACACGGTTAGACTCAGTTTTTTTTTTTTTTTTTTAATGAATAATATTAATTATCTTATTTACACGGTAAACATATTCTAAGAACATGGAACGTTTGTTTTGTTGAATATTGATCATCGTTTGAATCGAATAAAAAAATAAAAAAGGAACAATCATTGCGAGATAACCGATGACAACAACTGGTTCTTTGATTTCTTTCTTGTTTTTTTCCTTCTTAATTACCATGTATTTTCGTAAAGTACAAAGGTTCCCCAGGTATCATGGTTAACGGAGAAACTCTTAAGGAAGATTCCATTTACTCCTAACGGGAGTGTTGTTTGAAACGACAGATAGACGTTTCAAATATGTTGCCGATAGCAAAACGTAATCCTAGTGTTGCGTTACGAAGAACTCAGTGGGTCAACTTGTCCTCTATCACTTGTTCCACTGGCCTACTGCACCCCGGCCTACTATTTTCTCTCTCTTTCTTTCTTTCTCTTTCTTTCTCTTTCTTTTTCGAATCGTTATTTTTCTACTTAATGCCATATCATTTATACATCGTCTCGCATGACCTTATTTAACAGACACTCTTTTAGGAAATGTAATACAAACAACCGGAGAAAGAGATTTCTAGTTTCATATTGTATAGGGTGAATCTTTTATATTTATTTGCGTAAATAGAGAATGTTTTCAAATCATTTCTTTTCTATTAAAAGGATTAGAAAGATCACTGTTTATAATATTGAAAGTGTATTATTAGAAAGAAACTGCATTACATTTATATACTTTTCATTCAATATATTCGTAACTTTGCATGTATTTTGTGAGAGGAATTCTACTGTATATATATAAGTAGATAACACTACTATTTGGTGTTAAACAGTAACACTAAGTTACTATCTTACTTATAATACTATAGTATATTACTATAGTAATATACTATGTACTATACTATACTAATAGTATACTATAAATAGTATATTAATATAAAGTACTAATATATATATAATATACTATTGTATATATAATATACGCGAGTACTATATTATATTATTATATTATATTAGTACTATATCATAGTACATATAATATACTATAGTATATTATACTATATACTAGTATAGTATATACTAGTTTAGTTTAGCTACATAATATATAGTATATTATGGTATATAGAATACTATAGTCTATAGTAGATTCTATATACTAGTACAAGTTACTAGTATACTTGTAACACTAATACAAATTTACAAGTATAATTTATATATAAATACATTATATTACATATATATAATATATATGTATATATATATATACATACATTTATATAGTCCTACTTAATACTCATAGAAAACATATGAGATGACATGAAACGTTCTAAATGAAACTACAAATTTTCTTAATAATTATCGTTCGTGATAGAATGCATTTAACACAAATAAGAAAAAAGAAACTAACCAAAATAAATAATAATTATTAACCTCCATTCATAAAAATAGATTAACTTTTATCCAAATTATTAATGTCCTGTTATCTTTTAATCTAGGACTTTAAAAGTGTCAACTGTGGTGTTGTATTACAACCACAAGAAGCAATTATTAGACCGTTATGACGTGTGTATAAACGAACCGTAATGTTGGTTTAGTAAAACATCCTATGAGTGTGTTACCATACTTAATAAAATAATACCGGTAGTTTGTGAAGTTAGGGTTACTTTAATGTAAGTAAACGTCGTAAAAAAAGTTGTAAGCGCGCTATTAAACGATGACTCCTAGTTCGACGACATATTGACGGCGACGAAGGTAAAGTTGGTTTGCAGCTGTATCTAACAGATTTGCAGCAATAGCAAACTTTCTAATACGATAGTCACTTGCATCGGTTCAACATATACATATGTATTTATATATATATATGTTAAACTCGATAGGAGGTTATTCTTATAAGAAGTACCTGTATTGTGGTAGATATAGGTCATACACGTGAGATATGCAGTCAGCTATTTATTTCAATTACATGGTAGGCGTAAATTTAACATTTTTTTAAGTATAAATTTAAGTGTGTAAGTGTGTAAGTGTGGTTCACTTTCTTCTTTTACTAAATATCTTCGTTTCTCTTCTACGAGAGATCGCTTTTAAGAGAAATTGCAATCTCGATTTCGTTCGTTCATTGATTTGAAAGACATTTTATATCGATGACAATTATCGGTTGATTTCCTTCTTTTTCATTAAAAACGTTTATGCTATTTAAATTAGTGCGTATATTTTAAAAGAAAATTCTCACACGTACAACGATTAAATAATCGATTCATTATCATTTAACTTTATTATCTATTTTCCTTCTTTTTCATTAAAAACGTTTATGCTATTT